AAATTCCGCGACAAGTATCAGTGCACGTATTCTTCTTCGTATACTATAATTGATTATACAGTCACAAAAGTTTACAATTTTAAGGACTTGAAAAAAAAAACTGCAATGCAGTTCGGGCTTTGAACATTGCAGGTATACCGCAGTACATAGTATAAATTCCATACTGTACGTGGGGTCTTTTCTCAATTACCATAAGACATACATTACTGTCTAATTTTTTTATGATACCAAAAAAACTGGGCTAGTGTTTTAAAAATTTTATGGTTACTTTCTCATGGAAAAATTGTAATATTTGCCATATAAGAATGTTTATCATTCTATTTTTACATTTTATTTTTACGGAGTCTTTTTTTTCTCTGTGACTACAGAAAAAAACAAGCACCCAATTTATTTTCCCCTTTTGTGTCAAATTATTGGTGCGACTTATTCATTCGATTGAGAGTGTATACGATTTCCTTTGAAATTTGAGTAGACGATCGAGTACTATTCTTATATAGTAGATTGCTGCATGGCAATGGATAAAAAGATATAAAGAAAAATTATCGTCCCCGTCCCCACGTAACATTTGTTTAATAATCTGCAATCTCTCTTTGTTTCCGCTGATTCCAAAATTTTTGCGATTTTCTGAATTTTTGACAATTTTTTGAAGCACGGTCATTCGAGACATTTCGAGATATCTCGATATATTTCGAGATATTTCGATATATTTCGATATGTTTCGATACATTTCGATATGTTTCGATCTATTTCGATATATCTCAATATATTTCGAGATTGATTTCCTTTCTCCTTTTGATATTAACAATCAATCATGCAATTATCATAAAATTCTAATTGACCCGCAAAAACAAGGAAATAAATATGTCCAGCTCCAATTACATCGATTTCAGTCAATTACTTTCGGTTATCATTAAAAAACGTCGAGCTCGATATTCAATGAGGAAAATCTTCATCATAAAACTTAAAAAATTGACAAAAAAAGGTACCAGACGAGTTTTCAAAGGAACAATTAAAATAGTATCGCATGTCTCACATAAGGGTTCGACTGTGGGACCCCTCCGGCCAAAATTCCTCCCGATCACCCCAAAACCTAAAAATTTTGGATAATAACAAACACAAGACGTCCATTCAGAAGCAACACATGACCGTTTGTCCAAAAAATGTTGCGTCGCCAAGAATGCGTATCGAAAAAAACGTAAAGAAAAAAGAAAAAAAAAGGTAGAATGCAATTCCGTGAATGAGACGTGTGGGTGCTCTCATCTGCTGGGCTTGAACTCTCATTGGATGGAATCCCCACCGACAAAATCTCTCTCTCTCCCACCCGTTAGATAAAGGCATCGTGAAAAACTCGAGGAAGTAAAGCTCCTCCATACATTTCCCAGTAACCAGGCGTACCCACTCCATATCCCGTGACACTTGCTTTATTATTCTCACCCGCCTTAGTCATTTAAAACCTCACCATCATTAAAGTCTAGCAATTTTCCTCGGATACTTGACTCTCCGTCTTATCTTCACTTGTCTGTGTCTTCATTACCCGAGCGTTTAAATACAATTTCATCGTAATTTAGTATCTCCTTGAAGCCTGATTCTCCCCCTCTTTTTTACCCCTCATCTCATTACTCCCTGATCTTTATTCTCTCCGCCTCATTTATCGAACCTGCGTTTAACCCGGAGAATCAGGATTTCGCGTAGTCGATGGGATTTCATCCCAATCCGAATGACCCGATCAACTCCCCTCGTACCCTCTCAGTACTCAGCACCATGTCCAGTTTACTATTCTCTAGCACATATATATCATTGAATATATATGTGAGCTTATCGGGTTGGAGACAAAATACGAACATAAGGGGTGAAAGCCGCTTACGGGAAAACAGACCACACGTAGGATATGAATAAACCACTTGTAAAAGATTCAATGGCTATGTCGGCTCCAATAGACGTGCCAACCATTTTCCCTCACTTCCCCCCCCCCCCCCCCTTTTTTTTTTATTTATTTCAATACCGAATTCACGTTTTTAATGATGAATAAACTCCCCCGATAAATAGACTTCTTTTCTATTTAATTGATTCACTTCGTCTGACTAATTAGAATATAAATGGTACGTGGCTCTCGGTTATATTGCTGTACCTTTTTAGGGAGAGCTTTATTTGCGGTCGATCCAGTGAAAGGAGTCAATTAGTTTGGAACTCATTTGTCGGTGGATAATTTCCATCATTAGGCAGTGGTAAATATTTATCGCCGAATATCGAGGTAGATTAAAGGAATTTATCTTAAAATACCAGTGGAGTACATGAATATTCAGTGGAATTGATGCTGCAGAAAATTGACAAATTTCGGGCAAACATTTTATCGAACTTCGGTTATTCATTCTAGGTGTAATTCTAGGTACCTTTCAAGGAGTGAATCGAAAATAGATTGAATCATTTATTTATTTAGTACCTTCTGACACGGGCTATTGGAATATTTTTTTACTTTTTATACATTGAAATAAATAAATAAACTCAAGTCGGTGCGATTTCGTACAGAAACGTCAGTTGAATAATTTATATTTTTTATAAGAAATTGACAAGATGGAATATTTGATCGATTAAGATTGGAAGTAAAACCATCTCTTCAAATTTTCTCATTTGTATCGACATATTCTGATTTCTCCTGATTAATCAGCAATTTTCTCGTCTCGACTATTTTCAGTAGACGAAAGTTTGAATGCAGGTGGTGTGTCTATTTTAGGCGCAAATTAGCAAAATCATTGCGATAATTCACACCAATTGTGCAAATAGTGATATTCCTCCAAATTGGACGTAAATTGCCTCTACATAAGCAGTTTTACCGCACAACTGAAATTTCTCCAGTAAATGGTGAAACACCCTCACGAAGGTCTGAAATACCTCTGGAAAGTACTGAAATAGCTTTACGCTTTTTTTCCTTGATTCAATGCTGATTACAAAAACACCAATGAACTTTTGAGAGGTATTACCTATTGAGTTCAAAGAACAAGAAATACGGTGAACTTAAATGTTTAAATAATAATTAAAGGTAAATTGGAGGAATGACATTTGCATAAAAACATGTTGAGGAGTTTCTTCTGAAGATCATTTAATTCACCCTCAATTATTATTAACCAAAAAAATGAATTATATGGAAATATAATAGATGACAGTTCGATATTTTTGCTACATTATTTCTTCGGTGCTAATTAATTGGTAACGTGACCTACTGCGCACTCCGTGTGCCGAATTTGAATTTGGCGGTTCGAGTTGACCAATGAGGAATTAGTCCTACGCGTTTCGAGATATTTCGACTCGGGCGAACTTCATTTTTGTGTTTCCACTTTCATAAGAAGGAATAATAAGAATCATTTTCCAATACATGGAAATTATTAAGGG